AACTGACATCCTGTGTTTCTTGGCATTCCAACAGTTCAATGAACAGAGTGAATTGGTAGTGTCCAGCTTCTCTCCAAATACCATCTGATAGTATTGAGTTATACGGTACTAGTAACAGTGAAGAATCTTTAACCTAATTATAAACTGACTATTTGTGATAAAACCAGGTTCAAGGTGACTGGCAATGGGATAGAGAAAAAAAAGTTGGTTTCATGCCTTTTACCAAAGTCTTAGCATGAACATGAATTTTTTTTTTTTTTAACAGTAAGGTTTACTCTGTACAAGGCCTGGGGGCCACCTGAGGTAGAGGGTTACATTAAGTGGTAGTTTATATGTATTAGAGGGGAATATAACAGTTAACTCTAGATTTGAACAGGTTAATATTGTAGTGATCGAAGAAACATCCTCTTGACAGTCTGTTCCATAGAGCACTGACTGACCTGTGGGAAGAAGGTGTTCGAGTGGGGCTTCAGAGGGAATGTGAGTGGTTTGCTATAATGTAAGTGGCAGTCACAAGTGAAATTCAAACTGTTCATTGATTTTGTTTTACCGCATTGCCATCCCATACTTCACACACACACAAACACACCATAAATAGAAGGCTATCCAGAATTAACTAAATTTTAACTATCTCGTTTCTCTTCCAGGCATATCAAGAGCATGAACACAGCTGCTTCCAATCTGACTAGAAATGAAAAGGCACATGCTTATGGCATGAAATATCAACTACAGTGACTTGGAGAATTAGGTTACAACTCTTTGAAGGTGGTCAGTTAAACAAGAAAAATGATAGCTGACTTTCTTCAGCCACCATATATACTCATGGTGATGCACACAAAATTCACATTGTCTTTTGGAGAGTTGATAGCAGTGAGAGCCAGATCATGCTGCCCTACTTCTTTCCACACAAGACCTTAAGATTAATGCCAATGCTTACTTTGAGGTACTGAGCAGAGTGGCCAAGTTATAGATTGAGGTGGATGGCTATATGCATTCTACTAGTACTCTGTTCCCTCCCACAGAGACCATGAGACCAATGAGTAGTTAGTTGAAAATGTTCCTAGTTCTCGAGTTGAATCAATCAAACTACTATGTCTCGGGTGTTGTTGAGATGGAAACCAACCAGCAGGCCACACAATACTGGGTAAATTCCACCATCATGGACATGACAGCCAACATGAATGCAAACCACCTGATATACACATGCAGTTGCTTCCAAGGCTGCATCAAGGCCATGTTTAAGAGGAGTTTTAATGAAAATCCTGTTTTTGTTTTTCAAACTTGCATGTGTGTACGAAATCTTTTGAAAATTTACTGACTTTGTTTTTCTTGTCATCATAATTTCTTCTTAATTATTCTGCATATACACTGATAAACTAAAACATGACCAACAACAAGTGACAAGAATGATAGCTATTGTCTGATAATAAATGTACAGGCCAGAGTGAGATATACATGCTGGCCTCAAGTACTGCAATTTTATGCATTGAATTGTTATGGGCAAGGAGAATGATTTGAGTGACTTTAATAAAGGCCAAATTGTCATAGCCAGAACAATAGGTTAGATCATTTTCAAAATGGCAGAGCTTGTGGAGTGTTCACATTGAGTTGTGGTGAGTACCTATCAGCAGTACCAAATATAAGTCAACAAAAATTCTACTGTGGCACAAATTACAGACAGTGTTAATCAAGGTGAAGAAAGGAAGCCATCTGATTCAATGAGTCTCACTTTCTCAAAAATAAGGTACATGCATGCTGTTATCCTATAGAAGCAATGGTATTAGATTCACTATGGGAAGATAAACTGGTACAAGGAGTGTGATCGTTCAGGAAACATTCTGCAGGGAAATACTGAGTTCTATCATCCATGTAAAAGGTACCCTTATCATGTACCACCTATCAGGTCATCCCATAAGTTCTGTCTGAATTTTAACTTTTTAAAATGAACGAAATTTAAAGAGTATTTTATAATGTCTAATGGAGCTGAACATTATTTTTATGTTTAGATGCATTTAAACTGATCAAATTTTATTTCAGAGAACAATAAAATTAAATTTTGTTTGATTAAAACCCTGCTAACATGGAAGTACCCAAGAATCATTTGAGGCACATAATGCATTAGGAGTTCAAGAAAAGAAACTCAGCAGCCGAAGCGGCTAGAAACATTCACTCAGTTTATGGAGAGGAATGTGTGAATAAAAGAATTGCAGAAGATGGTTTTCCAAATTCAGAGGTGGAGATTTCACCCTTGAAGATGAAGATCGAACCGGACGTCCAGTTGAGTTTGATGAAAAGCTTCTTGAAGCAGCCCGTGAAGAAAATCCTGCTTTATCAGTTGAAGAATTGGCAGTGGTTCTCAGGTCAAACCATAAAACTGTTCATCGTCATCTTCAACAACTTGGAAAAGTTCCTAAACTTGGAAAATGGGTGCTTCATGAATTGTCTGAAAACAACCTCAAATCCAAAGTTGACATCTGCTCTTCTCTCCATTCTCGCCAACTTGTTTCACCTTTTTTGGATAGACTTGTGACTGGAGACGAAAAATGGATCTTTTATCGAAATGTTAAGCGTCATAGACAGTGGCTTGGTAAAGGGGAAGGACCCTAGCCACAGGCGAGAAGGGAACTTCATGGGCAAAAGGTTCTTTCAATCTGGTGGGATCGCCAAGGAATAATCCACTTTGAATTCTTACCACCTAATGCAACAATTAACGCTCAAATATACTGTCAACAATTAGAGCGTTTGAACCAAACTTTGAGGAAAAAAAGACCTGCTCTAGTGAATCGAAAAGAGGTGATGTTTCATCAGGACAATGCACGACCCCACACAACAAGAATCACGTCACAAAAGATCGAAGAACTTGGTTGGGAGAAAATTCCTCATCCACCTTATTCTCCCAATCTTGCTCCTTCAGACTACCATTTGTTTCGTAGCTTACAGAATCATATGGAAGAAACAGCTTTTGTAACACAGGAAGAGGTTAAAACTGACATTTGTGAGTTCTTCGAGTCAAAGCCAAAAGAATTTTACAGTAATGGAATTAGTAAGCTTGTTAATAGATGGAAGGAAGTCATAGATAATCAGGGAAAATGCATTGTTGATTGAATCTGTAATTAAACATAACATTTTGTCACTTGTTTTCTTTATTCAAAATTCGGACAGAACTTATGGGATGACCTTATATATATATATATAATTAAAGAGGAGATAAAAGTATTCTATAATAACAGTCGCACCTTTCAATAAGACAATGTCCTACCACACTGCACAAGCTGTATAGAAATGGTTTCAGGAAGACGCAAAAAGACTTCAATGCATTGTCCTGACCACCAAACTCCCCAGATTACAATCCCATTGAGCATCTAAAGAATGTTCTGAACAAATTCCCTCTAGAGAACTTCCACAACATAACTTTCATCATTTAAAGATTTCAGAGGAAATCTTTAGAGGTTTTATAGAGCCTATGCCTGATTAGCTGAGAACTGTTTTGTTGGTTTATGGAGGACCAACACCTTATTAGGCTGGTGCTCATGATGTTGTTGGCTGGTTGTTTAGCAGAATATCAACCTCTATGAGTTATATAATACCAAAATCTAAATATTTTGTATGCAATTTTTTTCTTCCTTTTTTGAATAATGGTTTTAATGATACAAGTTTTACTTATTAACCCATAACTGGGGGAGAAAAGGTAGATTCCTACCTTTCCCGAATGGGTATTTGCATATAAGTAAATATAACAAATCCAACTGGAATTGAAACTCGTCTCTCCAATTAACAACTTTGAGATATTATCCATTATACTACCTGTGCACCAAGCTTACAGCACCTGGTATCCTCAAGTGGTCACGCATCTAGGTATTGGCCTGGCACAACATTGCTTAACTTTGGTGTTTCAATGTAATGTGTCTATAAGCCTGGCTCATTAGTGTATACACACACGTTGACTTAATGATGAGAAAAAAAATAAACAAAAAAATATAATGAAAGGCTTGATTACCATTTACTGGGCCAAACAGTCCTGGGGGAAGGCAACTTGAACAAAGTGGTCAGCTAAATGATAAAGTGATAAACACACATACAATGTTAACAATTACAGTGACCAAAAATGGATTCAAAGAAATCTATGAATAACAAATAATTTAATAAGATAACCATGTCAATTATTTTGTTAGATCCACTTTCGATAAACAATTATATTCAACCTAATTATATATTAATGGTAGATAAAGTAGTAATAATAGTTAAATTATGGTGATTTGATTGTTCAATGAGGCCTGATATGTATTTGTCAAAATATTGTGATAAAATTGCATTACTATTTTTGTCAATTAGGCTTACTCCATTTAGTAAACTGTTTCGTTCAAGCTGTTGTCTATGTCCAGGACTTTGGGCTAATAAACAGTAGTCACACACAAAAAAATTATCTTGCATAATAAAGATTTGTTTTTCAACATAATATCCTTTGTCAATGTACATAATGCAATATTTACTCAATAACAGATTATACAATTAAAATTTCTGATCAAAATTCTGCTGATAATTATGTCTGACTAGAATTTGTACCTGTGTTTGTATACATATAAATGGACCTTTATGTAAAGAAGTATATGTGTATGTGTTAAAATACATATCTGCTCTTAAATTCAAGTTTGTCCTAAAAAAGATTTAAGGGTTATGAAGACTTCTCCGTATCAATGGCTATCATTTTGATAAATGTTAGCTGGCATTTTGTATTACATTTCAATCTTTCTGATATTTATATACAAAAGACACACACATGTCGCCTTTTTATGTTTTAATGAAGGTTTTACATTTCTTACATTGACTGCATGAAGAAAATCAAGTTTAAAGTACACATTTTTTTTTGTTCTGTCTGCATATGTCTTACATATCTACAGTGTTCTGTTGGGAAAAAACTGGTGCGGGGAATACAGAGGAAGAAAGAGAAAATATTAAGAGGGTCCAATGGTATAAAAGAAAATGAAGAGAGGAAAGCAGTGTTAGACATGGGAGAGAAAAAGACTTTTAGAATAAAGAGAAAGAAGTAGCCATAAGGTTAAAAAGAGAGGGACATAGAAAAGTAGGTGGCACAAGAAATAGAAAGAGAATGGTATATAGAGTGAGTGAAGAGGAACATGAGAGAGGCAGAAAAATGGATGTAGAGAGGGTGTCAGCATGAAAAAGAAGCAGTAAATATAAGAGTAAGGAAAGAATAAGAAAATAATCAAATCAAGAAGGAGAGATGTAAAGAGGGAGAAAAAAAGAAAAAAGTTGTTTAGAGAAAAAAAAAAAGATATGTCTCAAGATTTTTTTCTCTTGACAAAAAATATTAAGGTCATCAATTTGCTTGAATTTTGAAAGAAGACTGGTGGTAGGGGAGTCAAGGAACATTGTTCCACTAATACATTAAGAGAATTAATTACCTGTCCTCTTTACATTTCAGGTATTTTACCTTCACCTTTTCTTCATGTTAATAAAAAAAAGTAATCTGTAATCATTACTGCTTATCCACTCTTCTCAGCCACAAAACAAAATAATGCACTAAAATATTTGAGATGTATGTAAGATACACAAAGACAAAGGGGTGGATATTGATGTGGAGAAAGAGAGAGAGAGACAAGACAGGGACATAGAATAGAAAGAAGCAAGTGACAGAGTGAGAGAAAGCGGGACATGGGAAGGATGGAGAGAGTGGTAGAAGGGGACATGAGGGAAGGAGAGAGACAAACAGACAGAAGGAGACACAAGGCAGAAAAAGAATAAAGACAACAAAGTGGACAGGAGAGAGAAACAAACAAGGGGACATGGGAGAGACATGGAAGAGAGAGAGAGAGAGAGAGAGAAAGAAGCAGCAGAGAAAGAAACAAAGGATGGGACTGGGGTAGAGAGAAAAACAAAAGAGAGGACACGAAAGAGAACTAAGGGGAAACAAAAGAGACATGGGAGAGAGCAAGAGAGAATGAAAGCAAGAGATATGAGAAAGCATAGAGAGAGAAACACGAAGTTACACAGAAGAGAGAGAGAGACAGAGCACACTCAAGAGAGCAGACACAGAAGAGAGAGAGTGTGCCAAAGAGAGTAAACATGTTAGAGAGATAGCACCAAAGAGGACATGCACACGGGGAGACAGAGAGAGAGAGAGATAGCACCAAAGAGGACATGCACAGACAGAGAGAGAGAGAGATAGCACCAAAGAGGACATGCACACGGGGAGACAGAGAGAGAGAGAGAGCACCAAAGCATGCCAAGAGGACAGAGCACACCAAAGGGACATGACAGAGAGAGAGAGAGAGAGAGATAGCACCAAAGAGGACATGCACACGGGGAGACAGAGAGAGAGAGAGATAGCACCAAAGAGGACATGCACACGGGGAGACAGAGAGAGAGAGAGATAGCACCAAAGAGGACATGCACACGGGGAGACAGAGAGAGAGAGAGATAGCACCAAAGAGGACATGCACACGGGGAGAGAGAGAGAGAGAGAGAGATACATGCACCAAAGAGAGACATGCACAAGAGGGAGACAGAGAGAGAGAGAGAGAGAGCACCAAAGAGGACATGCACACGGGGAGACAGAGAGAGAGAGAGATAGCACCAAAGAGGACATGCACACGGGGAGACAGAGAGAGAGAGAGAGAGAGATAGCACCAAAGAGGACATGCACACGGGGAGACAGAGAGAGAGAGAGAGAGATAGCACCAAAGAGGACATGCACACGGGGAGACAGAGAGAGAGAGAGAGATAGCACCAAAGAGGACATGCACACGGGGAGACAGAGAGAGAGAGAGAGAGATAGCACCAAAGAGGACATGCACACGGGGAGACAGAGAGAGAGAGAGAGATAGCACCAAAGAGGACATGCACACGGGGAGACAGAGAGAGAGAGAGATATAGACCAAAGAGGACATGCACACGGGGAGACAGAGAGAGAGAGAGAGATAGCACCAAAGAGGACATGCACACGGGGAGACAGAGAGAGAGAGAGAGATAGAGAGGACATGCACACGGGGAGACAGAGAGAGAGAGAGAGATAGCACCAAAGAGGGACATGCACACGGGAGAGAGAGAGAGAGAGAGAGAGAGAGAGAGAGAGAGCACCAAAGAGGACATGCACACGGGAGACAGAGAGAGAGAGAGAGATAGCACCAAAGAGGACATGAACACGGGGAGACAGAGAGAGAGAGAGAGATAGCACCAAAGAGGACATGCACACGGGGAGACAGAGAGAGAGAGAGAGATAGCACCAAAGAGGACATGCACACGGGGAGACAGAGAGAGAGAGAGATAGCACCAAAGAGGACATGCACACGGGGAGACAGAGAGAGAGAGAGAGATAGCACCAAAGAGGACATGCACACGGGGGAGACAGAGAGAGAGAGAGAGATAGCACCAAGAGAGGACATGCACAAAAGGGGAGACAGAGAGAGAGAGAGAGATAGCACCAAAGAGGACATGCACACGGGGAGACAGAGAGAGAGAGAGATAGCACCAAAGAGGACATGCACACGGGGAGACAGAGAGAGAGAGAGATAGCACCAAAGAGGACATGCACACGGGGAGTCAGAGAGAGAGAGAGAGAGATAGCACCAAAGAGGACATGCACACGCACAGAGAGAGAGAGATAGGGGAGACAGAGAGAGAGAGAGAGATAGCACCAAAGAGGACATGCACACGGGAGACAGAGAGAGAGAGAGAGAGATAGCACCAAAGAGGACATGCACACGGGGAGACAGAGAGAGAGAGAGAGATAGCACCAAAGAGGACATGCACACGGGAGACAGAGAGAGAGAGAGAGATAGCACCAAAGAGGACATGCACACGGGGAGACAGAGAGAGAGAGAGAGATAGCACCAAAGGGACATGCACACGGGAGACAGAGAGAGAGAGAGATAGCACCAAAGAGGACATGCACACGGGAGACAGAGAGAGAGAGAGAGATAGCACCAAAGAGGACATGCACACGGGGAGACAGAGAGAGAGAGAGAGATAGCACCAAAGAGGACATGCACACGGGGAGACAGAGAGAGAGAGAGAGATAGCACCAAAGAGGACATGCACACGGGGAGACAGAGAGAGAGAGAGAGATAGCACCAAAGAGGACATGCACACGGGGAGACAGAGAGAGAGAGAGAGATAGCACCAAAGAGGACATGCACACGGGGAGACAGAGAGAGAGAGAGAGAAAGAGGACATGCACAGGGAGAGAGAGAGAGAGAGAGATAGCACCAAAGAGGACATGCACACGGGGAGACAGAGAGAGAGAGAGAGATAGCACCAAAGAGGACATGCACACGGGAGACAGAGAGAGAGAGAGAGCACCAAAGAGGACATGCACACGGGAGAGAGAGAGAGAGATAGGCACCAAAGAGGACATGCACACGGGGAGAGAGAGAGAGAGATAGCACCAAAGAGGACATGCACACGGGGAGAGAGAGAGAGAGATAGCACCAAAGAGGACATGCACACGGGGAGAGAGAGAGAGAGATAGCACCAAAGAGGACATGCACACGGGAGAGAGAGAGAGAGATAGCACCAAAGAGGGCATGCACACGGGGAGAGAGAGAGAGAGAGATAGCACCAAAGAGGACATGCACACGGGGAGAGAGAGAGAGATAGCACCAAAGAGGACATGCACACGGGGAGACAGAGAGAGAGAGAGATAGCACCAAAGAGGGCATGCACACGGGAGAGAGAGAGAGAGAGAGATAGCACCAAAGAGGACATGCACACGGGAGAGAGAGAGAGAGATAGCACCAAAGAGGACATGCACACGGGAGAGAGAGAGAGAGATAGAAAGAGGACATGCACACGGGAGAGAGAGAGAGAGAGATAGCACCAAAGAGGACATGCACACGGGGAGAGAGAGAGAGAGATAGCACCAAAGAGGACATGCACACGGGAGAGAGAGAGAGAGATAGCACCAAAGAGGACATGAGGGAGAGAGAGAGAGAGCACCAAAGAGGACATGCACACGGGGAGAGAGAGAGAGAGAGAGCACCAAAGAGGACATGTACACGGGGAGAGAGAGAGAGAGCACCAAAGAGGACATGTACACGGGGAGAGAGAGAGAGAGAGATAGCACCAAAGAGGGCATGTACACGGGAGAGAGAGAGAGAGAGCACCAAAGAGGACATGAGAGAGAGAGAGAGAGATAGCACCAAAGAGGACATGACAGGGAGAGAGAGAGAGAGAGAGCACCAAAGAGGGCAGAGAGAGAGAGAAGAGAGAGACAAAGAGGACAGACACGGGGAGAGAGAGAGAGACAAAGGGGCAGACACGGGAGAGAGAGAGAGAGACCAAAGAGGAGACAAAGGGGCAGACATGTGTACGGGAGAGAGAGAGAGCACCAAAGAGGGGCATGACACAGAGAGAGAGAGAGAGAACGACAAAGGGGGCAGACAAAGGAGAGAGAGAAACGACAAAGGGGGGCAGACACAGAGAGAGAGAACGACAAAGGGGCAGACACACAGAGAGAACGACAAAGGGGGACAGACAAGGGAGAACTGGGGGCAGACACAAGAGAGAGAGAACGACAAAGGGGGCTGACACAAGAGAGAGAGAACGACAAAGGGGGCTGACACAAGAGAGAGAGAACGACAAAGGGGGCTGACACAAGAGAGAGAGAACGACAAAGTGGGCTGACACAAGAGAGAGAGAACAAAAAGGGGCTGACACAAGAGAGAGAGAACGACAAAGGGGGCTGACACAAGAGAGAGAGAACGACAAAGGGGCTGACACAAGAGAGAGAACGACAAAGAGGGCAGACACGAGAGAGAGAGAACGACAAAGGGGGCAGACACGAGAGAGAGAGAACGACAAAGGGGGCAGACACGAGAGAGAGAGAACGACAAAGGGGGCAGACACGAGAGAGAGAGAACGACAAAGGGGGCAGACACGAGAGAGAGAGAGAGAGAGAACGACAAAGGGGGCTGACACAAGAGAAAGAGAACGACAAAGAGGGCTGACACAAGAGAGAGAGAGAACGACAAAGAGGGCAGACACAAGAGAGAGAGAGAGAACGACAAAGTAGGACAAAGTTTGGACAAAGAGAGTGACAAAGAGGTGTGAATGCAGAGAAACAAGGCGAAGATAGGAGGTGAATAGATAGATGGTAAGAATGGAGAGTAGAGAGAGAGACCTGGTGTGGATAGGATAGTAGATAAAGTGTGAAAGAAAGACAAGGTAGGGACTTGTGTCAATAGAGAGTAATTGAGAGTGTGAAGACAGGGATCATGTGGGGAACAGAGAGAGACAATGCAGGGATGAAGAAATAGATTGAGACAAGGCAGAGAGACAGAAACAGTTACAGTAAGAAAGGGGTGAAGCAGGTAAGGAATAGAAAGAATAAGAAATAGGGTGAGGTATTTCAAGAATAGGGAAAGAATGGAGATCAGTGTAAATAATGAAATGGGTGGTAGGTAGAAAATATCTCCAAATGCAACAGAAACTATTACATTTTTTAGCATTTTCTTTCTTTATAGAATTTATTTATTTTTATTTTTCAGAAATTTTTCTACTTGCAGGTAGACAGAGGATAGAAATCGTCATCTCTAAAACTTAAAAAATGTTTTATTGCTGTTGGTTCCAAAAGAATCTTTTCATAACTTCCATTCATAACATGGACACAGAGGAAATACATACATATATACACACACACATATATATATATATATATATATATATATATATATATATATATATATATATATATATATATAAACAAACAGGTTTATGATATGACAGCAAATCAAGAAAATACTATGAAATTTGAGAATGACACTTAATGGGATATTATATCCAAAAGTGCTATCCCCGCACCATTTCAAGATTTTTAAATCTTAATAGAGCTGAATTTTACCAAGTATTAAATTATAAGACTGATATGTTGTAAATGTTTTTCTCTGTAAGGAAAAATACAACACTGCAATTTTTGTCAGAAAAAATTACTACTATGTCTCAATAAAAAATTATTCTAATTTTTCATGAATAAAATTTTTAAAAAAATCCTTTTATAAAGGTATTTAAAACCCTAACGACACCTACAAACCCTGCTGGATAAAGAAAACTAACAAAAACTTCACCATCAAAGCTGGGCAAGTGAAGTGAGAAGGGGGGAATTTGTGTGTGTGTGTGTGTGTGTGTGTGTGTGTGAGAGAGAGTGAGTGAGAGAACAACTCAAGTACAATGCAAAGCCCAAATGGGACAACCAATTCCCACAATCAGGAATTGAGCAGAACACACTCCAGTTGTGGCAGTTTACCACTGAACACCCCCCCTCCAGCGACAACCACTTCCCTTCCCTATGCCCTAAGCCCCACTTGTACCTAACCAGGGAGGTGAGATGGTGGCAGTGGCCAGGGATGGAAAGGAGGGCTGGAACTACGTCAAGCTTGTCACTCTCAGGTTTTGTTGGTGTGTAGAGCATTTAGATATAGATAGCTTACACATACATATGGGTGTATAAGAATTTTCTTATACACACACACACACAGACTATACATAAAAATGCATGTTTTTCATAGATATTTCTTCACTTGACACAGAATAAATACAAGTGCGTACGGTGTTTTTATATATATATATATCTGATTGCAAAAGCATGAAACCCAGGGTCACAAACTCTTATCCCTACAACTGAATATATATATATATATATATATATATACACACACACACACAGCTAACTCATGGATTACCATATATATGGATAATCTATGAGCTAGTGTACTAAATTTGTTTCTTATATATATTAGGCATCTTGATAAATAACTAATATATGTGTGTGTGTAATTATATAAAAATAGGAAAGAACCGTTAGGTTAATAATCCAAAGTTCTTTAGTATTATTGTTTTTATTTTTAAAAAACAGTGCTCGATACAACAGTAGAGCCTATATTATAATTATTTTTTTACAAGAACTTGTAAAACCTGGGATGACCCATGCCCTTTATGCCTACATGAAAAACTACACATTAATAAGTTTGTAAAAAATGAAAATTTATTAAATCAAAGATATGAGAACAGTTTTTTGCAGATACCAACAGACATTCGCCTTAAATAATTAACTTAAATTTTTTTTAAATTTCAAAGTCTATAAACAAGTCAAGTTCAATTAAAGCAATAGGTTTAAAAACTTAACCCAATCATAAGCTAAAAAAAAAAAACAAAAAAAAAAAAACAAACTTTAAGTCGTCAACAAAAAACAAATTTTAGTTCAATATGACGTTTTCATATACAAACAACCCTTCTAGAAAAAAAATCTTTATGTATACAAATACACATTTAATAGTGTAACAAAAGTTCCAAAAATTTCTGTTGCTGATGACCAGATGATATGCGTTGAACGGATGTCATCATTCATTTGAAAAAAGGCAATCATATGGAATCGTATTTTTAAAAAAATAATAATAATATATATAATACAAAAGTCTGTAAATTTTCTAATAATTGCCATCTTACAAGTGGATGTTTTTTTTTTTATTGTAATCTACAAAGAAAACTTGGGCTATATTGGAGTCACTTTCACACCTAATTAACATATTTTTATCAAAGGAAGAGAGATCTAAGACGACACCTAAAAATGGCCATGCAAAAGATTTTGGTCACCTCACATAAACCAAGTCAGAGGCTGTGTTTTAAAACAGAAAAATATCTGCAATAAAAAATTATTATATAATGTTGATTTCAAGAAGTTAATGCACACTTTTTATAATTTCTGTGGTATCCTGTAGCCTGAATAATTTCTTTTAATAAAACCAAGGACAGGATGCATACAAATCCTTCACCATCTTCACAGGTACTATATACTACTGTACTGTACTGATGCGGCATTCACCCTGGGCAGATTGAGCCGGCTTCTTCCTGTTATGAGAAGAAGATTCTTGGGATAAATTACAGAAGTAGGGTACCCAGGCCTACCCGGATAACGTTCTTGCTTGCCGCGGGTTCCCACAGACGCAGAGACAGGAACGACCAGAAGCCGCCGTTTACCGGATGCAGACGCTCCTTGATTTTTCACCAGAGCCCTTGTTAGTCGGGCATGTGTGTCAGACCTGTCCGCCTTTGGTGGCCCTACCAGGAACGAAGTTCCGGGCGGCATAGCTCTGACACTACTGTTTACCCCCCCACCGACTGTGAGGTAAGGGTTGGACTTTGGAGGCTTACAGTACCAGGTGTTCCCAAGCAGTCCCCCATCTAAGTACTGACCTGGCTCTACGCTGCTTAACTTCGGTGATCGTACGAGAACCGGTGTCTATATACCATTTCTGTGATTGGTCTCTTGCAACTCAAGATTGCGTGGATTCTTCTGATGAATTCTACTCAGTTCTGTCAACTTTGATCCATTATTTAAGTTAGGGCTCTAATTTGCCCAACATTTCAATATGGTGGCACATTTATCAATCAGTCTCTGTTGTGTTGTATACAGTCTGTGATATAGAGCAGTGTAATGCTAAAAAAAAAAAAAAAATCATCTAAGTCTGGTATCATATGTTCATTCAACAACAGGATATATTTGGCACTATTCAAGCTATTGTCAATTTTAATCAATTTTCTTGACCCTTCTCTTTTTATGCCATCCTAAAGCATCAAATACACACTTAGGCAATCAGGTCACTTTTGATTCAAGACTGACTAGGCAGGTTTTTTTCCACAGTAGGTTATCATTTCTTTCTGCAGTAGACTAAGGATATAAGACTCAATCTGTCCTGCTATTCAACTCATAGCTTTCCCAAGGGCATTTGCACACAAGCAAATTTAAACTCGATTCTCCAATTTCTCATTCTGAACCAATATCCTTTACACCACAACTCACATCCTTAGAAGGTATGGTGTAGTAATGGATAGCAGCTCAGATGAAGGAATCAGAGAGCAGAGTTCGAATTCCAGTCAAGAATATTGCATTCACTTATGTGCTAATAGCCTTGAGAAATGTATAAATCCATCTCTTCTCCAAAAAAAAAAAAAAAAAAAATTTATCTTTTAGTGGTGGGTAAAAATGTTAAGTGGACAAAATCTTTAGCATGGCTATTTTTAGATGTCATCTCACATCATCTGTGTTCATTCAGAACCCTTGCTAAAAAATGACAAGGTATGAAAATAACTACAATATGGCCAAAGTTTCCTCTGTAGACAGCACAATAAAAAGCATTCTATGAAACTGTAAAGGATATAAACTTGATTATTTAAAAAAAAAAAAAAATCATCCAAAGTCACTTATTTGTGACTCTTTATTGTGAAGGGTCTAATTCCCTGAAAAATGTCCACTGTGCAAGATTTTAATAATATTGCAACATTTTCATGAGGTTGAACAATTTTCTAACATTCTTTGAAGCAGGCCAATGAACAGACAGATCATCTTACTTATTATAAAACGCAGATTGTGTGTGTGTGTGTGTGTGTGTGTGTGTGTGTGTGTGTGTGTGTGTATACGTTTATATATTGGATCGGATTTCCTACATTTTTCAACCGATTTCAACAAAACTTCACAATACTGAGTAAAATTACCTTGCGGTGGTTCTAGCAACGCCCAAAATTAGAAAAAACAATTGTTTTTGCACAAAATCAATTTGAAAACACAATTAAGAGGCATCGCGAAAATGAAAGGGGGACAACTCATATAGAGTTATACTTATTATAAAACCCAGGTTGTTTGTGTGTGTTTGTTTATATATGGGATCGGATTTCCTACATTTTTCAACCAATTTCAACAAAACTTTACTTTTTTTTTTGGCAGGTAGTGTTTCTTATTCTCTTGCACACTTTTTTCTTTATTTTTACATTCAGAAGGCTTTAAAAATTCCATTTATAAGACAATTGTTTATAATAATCGGTAGACTCATAACGATTGAAAATAATGTTTTTGTTTGAGTTTGACCAATTCGTAACCCCCCAAAAAAAACTAATTAAGACATGCGTGTCAGTCAACCTTAAACAATAATCTTTCTCAATTTTATTTTTCAGTCTTTATGATGGTCGATACTTGATCTATCTCTTACTGTTACATCCCCGGGCAACACCGGGCTCTACTGCTAATGCATGCTAAATATACAGTATCAATTAAAAAAAAAAAAAAAAAAAAAAAAAAATTGATAAGTATTGTTCTATTAATTATTTAGAGCAGTATCTATGTCTGTTTCAATCATTCTAATTTGACTGAACTTTCACCTTCATGTGTATGGCAGATTGAACTTCAAAGATCTTATTCACAATTATTTAATCACCCCCCACCATCATTACAATTGTTCCAAACAAAAGTTGATGAAATAAGCTGCAATTCTAATGCTAGAGTTAAAAAAAAAAAAAAAAAAAAAAAAAAAGAGAATAGTGTTTTATAATAGTTATAGTGAAACAAGTCCAGTAATGAAATTTAATTTATGCAAACTAAAATTTAAAAAAAAAAAAAAAAAAAAAAATCTAAGAAAATATGCACAATAAATCCATTACATGTCCCTTGCTACTTAAAACTTTCATAGCAATCAATTTTACCACTTCCTTTGATAGGACCCTTGTCATAGGCTAATGATTAGCATACTGTTCTAACATATCATTATTAATGGGTGCCATATACTTGTGGCCTTGTGCCTAGGATAGGTAAGCTTGATAAATAACTTCCTTTTGAAATTTTTATGTAAGGTGATGGTACAATGTCAAGGATGTGGTGATGATTTTCAGTTTATAATGTTAGTTATAACATGATAGCTTTCTAAGCATAGCTTAGATGTGGCACAAGGCCAAAAGTATGGGACACCCAGTGAGGATCGAACTCACTATTCAGTCGTAATTGATCTAGCACGACAAGCTTGCTAACCATTACACCATGTTGAAGTGCCCCAAGGCCAAAAGTATAGGACACCCAAAGAGGATTGAATTCACTATTCAGTATATATATATATATATATATATATATATATATATATATACACCTGTAACTTCCATTACACCCTTTAAAATAGCCATACAGTGACTGATGAAAATCAAATTTGGAGAAGGGCAAACAGGTAAAGTGGTAAAAAAAGTACAGTTGGTTTTACTAGAGTGTGTAAAAACTGCAAAGTAGGGTTTTTGTCAAAGTATTTTCCCAAACAAATCAGCTTGTTCAAATTTCATTGATTGGTTTGCAAATTTGAACAAAATGTAGAGTTTGAAAATCTCAACAAAAATATTAGCAATAACTTCAACAATACTAAATACTGTAAGGATTTCAACACATGTTAGCATGTTGCAAAAAAATTCTAGTTTTTAAAATATTAAAAAGAAAGTGAATCATGTGTTGTGGTGTGCTATCTTACTTATTATAAAACGCAGATTGTGTGTGTGTGTGTGTGTGTGTGTGTGTGTGTGTGTGTGTGTGTCTGTAACGTTTATATATTGGATCGAATTTCCTACATTTTTCAACCGATTTCAACAAAACTTCACAGGACTACATAAAATTACCTTGTGGTGGTTCTAACAGCGCCAAAAATGGGAAAAATATAATTGTTTTTGCACAAAATCAATTTGAAAACACGATTAAGAGACATCGTGAAAATGGAAGGGGGACAACTCACATCGGGTTGTTTGTGTGTGTGGGTTCCTTTAAATATGGGAGCAGATTTCCTATATTTTTCAGCCGATAAAACAAAACAATTATTTATAATAAAATTCTATTCAATTGGGAGACTCATAATGATTGAAAACAATATTTTTGTTTGAGTTTGGGTTTGACCAATTCGTAAAAAAAAAAAACTAATTAAGACATGTGTGTCCATCAACCTTAAACAATAATCTAACGATCTCTACTGATTGTACGAATACAAACATCAGATAAATTCTTTATCTTTAGGGAAAGATAATGAAACCTAAACATACACAAGTCCTAACTAAAAATAATAACCGAAACAGGAAACTACTTTAAATACACATGGTGTTCAATTTTTTTACTGTATTCAATAAGTAAAAATCATAAATTGTAAAAGATTATTATTACAGAAAGGCTACTAAATGAATAAGATTTGTTAGATCATAATTAATAAACCCAAATAAAGTTAATATTTTTGTATTAGAAACGAGTGGAAAATATATTCAAATCAGAATTCTAATTATGAATCACCACAAGCAAAATATGCAATTTTTTTTTTTTACTGTATTCAATAAGTAAAAATCATAAATTGTAAAACTAAAAGATTACAGAAAGGCTACCTACATTTTTTCAACTGATTTCAACAAAACTTCACTTTTTTTTTTTTTTATATGTAGTGTTTCTTATTGTCTTGCACACTTTTTTTTTTTATTTTTACATTCAGAATGCTTTAAAAATTCCATTTACAAGACAATTGTTTATAATAAAATTCTATTCAATCAATAGAGACTCATAATGATTGAAAACAATGTTTTTGTTTGAGTTTGGGTTTGACCAATTCGTAATAAAAAAAAACTAATTAAGACATGCATGTCCATCAACCTTAAACAATAATCTTTGTCAATTTTATTTTTCAGTCTTTATGATGGTGGATACTTGATCTATCTCTTACTGTTATATCCTCGGGCAACGCCGGGCTCTACTGCTAGTAATCTATAAATGTATTTTTTGGGATAGAATAAAGTTTAAACAAAAGCTAGAAATAAATCACTGAATGAATCAATAGAAAAAAAAAATTTATAGTATTAATCATCAAATTTGCTACAACACAAAGTCTTGATTACAAAAACCATTTTAATTGCCAATCTAAGTGATACAAATAGTAATAAAAAAAAAATAGCATTAAATTCCCCCCCCCCCCCGGGGATAGCTTCCTTTCCTGCTATGAAATATACATTCCAGATTTACCTCCTCCACCAGCTTACAAGAGGTAATAAATGGTAGATGGAGATGGAAAGGATCTGTCTTTCAAATGAGAAAAAAAAGGCAACTTGCCTTGAGTTTTAGATGTTTAATTTGGCTGCTTTCCTATCAGAGTGCTATACTGGATCCTTCAGAATATCTCAAAGATGTGGAGGGAGGCTAATTTCCAGGACTGGTACTATGAAAATCAGTAATACGAAAGAGGAGATATTCCATGATAATGAATGCTTCTTTTATATATAGTATACCAAATGATCATGATCAAGGCATCTAGCAATTGATTAAAGAGAGATGAACTTGTCTTTTCCAATGATATCAGTGCTTAGGATTTGAAGCAACCACAGTTTATATGTGCCAGTATAAAAACCCTCCTGCAAAAATATCTCCCAAAATATCTAACTACTCTTGTAAAGAAAGAAAATTAACTTTTTCCATTCTTCCCCACCATTTTTAGACTTCTAAATTCTTCAGTTTTCTTGATAATCTATCACTGGTCATGTGCAACAGGTGCCAATAGCTAAGATTATCCGTTATCTCGGACCTTTATCTTCTCATTTATCCATTTTAATTTTCATTGCCCAACCATAATTTTACCTAAATTTTATACAAACAGATTAGTTAGTGGCAATAAAGCCACTAAGACACAAAGGATTACTAAATCTAAGAGAATTAGAAAAATAAAACACTATTAAGGAGAGAGAACAATAAAAGAATAAGAATTTAGAAGACAGAAGATAATGATCAATATTGCATTTAAATTTTTGAAGATCAAATTTGACTGGAAAACTATGCTGATAGAAGGAAAAAAAAAGAAAAAAAAAGGGTTCCTCAGGTGATTAAAAGAGTACAGTTTTGTTTTGGAGACATTAAAATTAACAAGCTATTTCTTAACCCAATAAACAACAGATTGCAGGTCAATTTTTAGATAAGCTGCCGTTTGATCTTATTGAAGAAATCAGACAAAAGGTTATAATTTCGTTGTTTTCTATTTTAGGACTAAAGAAATTAGGTTTAAATATTAAATCATTAATTTTATTTGCTATAGGCATGAAATGCTGGGAAATCAGGATTCACAGATTTGAAAGGCTTCTGCCAATAAAGCATATCAAACAGCAAGTTAGGCACTTTTTGCAGTGGCCATTTTGAGTTGCTACCAGTTAATGTTACAATTTCAACAGGCAGTTGGAGGAACAGTTATAAGCAGTTACAACATTAAACACTACTTTAAAGAAAAAGATGTTCATTTTGATCAGTTGCAAAGGTGTGATGTTCCCCTCATGGCAATGCATGTAAGACACTAAAAGGCACTAGAATGCCAAGGGCTAGTGGGAGTGAAAGAAACAGAGAGAACAATAAATAAACAGAAGTTAAGGATACAGACGATGAGCATTACATTTGAATATAAATTGAAGGTGGTAGTTGACAGGAACGTGATGTCAGAATAGTGTTCCACGAGAAGTGACTGATAAGAAACTATTAGCACAAAACTTTTTGCTACATCTAGCTAGTTCCATGGAAAAATGATAGGACTTCTTTTTCTTCTACTTCTTTTCTTGTTTTTTCTTCATCTTCTTTTTCGCTTTCTTTTTTCTTCTTTTTCTCCTTCTTTATCTTTTTCTTCTATTTCTTCAACTCCACTAGGAAAATATTCCACACTTTTTTGTTGCTCAAAATTTGCTCCATCTGATTACCACCTATTCTGAAGTCTACAGAATTATCTAGATAGACTAATTTTTAAAATACTTAAGACACAGAAACTACCTTCTCTTCTTTCAAACTAAAAACTTACAAAAATGGTAAAGCTTGTAAATTAGTGGAAGGAAGTTATTGATGAGACTATGTTAATAAATAAATTTAATTAAACAGGAATGTTTTATTTTTTGAGCGTTCCCTAAATTCAGACATTACTTATGTCCGGATTATATCTATCACAGACAACTGGGAGGTGGAGATAAGGTTACCATTATAGGTATCAGCATGAAAAATGGAATGAGGACATTGAGTTCAAACTCAGGCTGTTTACATTCATCTCATTGAAATGCTCTTAGCAAAGACAGGAATCCATATCTACCTGCATATTGTACCACTGCCAGATATCTAAACAAAATATCTCATTACTAACAATCTATAATAGATAAAAGAGTGAGTGAATGAACACTTTGATAAACCATTCTCCTACAACCACTATCTTACCTATATAGTAAGTAATAGCCATTACTCCTTAAGAGGGACCATATACACACATTGGCCTACTTGGCGTTGAAGTAAACAGTCTGGATTGCAAATTCTGATTTTTATAGCAGGGGTAGGACACCCACCAGAGAGGGAAAAGTAAAGAGAGAGGGAAAAGTAAAGAGAGAGGGAAAAGTAAAGAGAGAGGGAAAAGTAAAGAGAGAGGGAAAAGTAAAGAGAGAGGGAAAAGTAAAGAGAGAGATAGATATCTATTTGAAAAAATTTTGTATGCATATATATCCATCTTCTTCCAAATGCCTGTATCTAGCCAAATGAAAATTGTTAGCCATGTGCGACTTTTCATTAGGACTCTGCTGATGCACATTACTATTTATACATTCATTGCTTCAAAGTCAAAACTGCAATTAGAAATAATGTTGGCAAAAGGAATTGTTCATTTCTACTTTCTTCCATCTTAGCTAACAGACAAGAGAGGAACATGGGAGATTGAAAAGTGTAAGTCATTAAAAGTAATGTAGGTCAAAGGAACTTCCTTTTTTGTCTACTTCCATACTGGGGTAAAAAAATAAAAAAAAATAAATAAAAAGGTACCAGTTATATAACACCATTCTGTTTGCCAAATATAAATTTTGATTCTTGAAAATCTATCATTGCAGTATTGACTGGTTCACATTTGACCTTAAATTTATGAATATCTTTTAAAATCACATACCATTGTTTGCTTTAGTTCAATTTGATCTTGAATTTACAATTGACAAGAAAACAAATTTATTACATGTAAGGGTTTACTCAATTCTCAAAAAATTAGGTACCTCCAATAATTCACTAAAAAAACAGTATAGCATGATGATAAAAGGTCCCAAACTTAATAAAAACAAAATTTTAACGTCAAAATGTTTATGTTATTATTAAGAGGAAAGAACAAAGTATTTTTTAATTTTTTTTTTTTTTTATTTTTTCCACATTTCTAACATGTGCTGAATTTGGGTAAAAAAAAAATCTCTTTTTTTTTTTTTTGTCAACTTTGTAAGACTTGTGGTAATGAACATTTTTAGTGTAGCAGTTTCCAGTGAAAACACATTAATTTGAAAATTCTAGCAAAATGAAATAATTGTCTGATTTTAATGAAACTTTCAGGACTTATTAAAAAATGAATGAATCTATTTTTGAAATTTTTATTTTTAGAAAATTTTGGTAAAATTTTTTTTATTTTATTTTTATTTTTACATCTGTTATCCACCTGTAGCTTAGTTTCATGAAATTTTCTAGAATTTCAAAGAGTACAAAAATTATTTTATATTACCTATAAGCAGAACTCCTGAAGAAAGTATATCAATTTTTTTTTCACAACTACTCCCAACTTTTTAAAAATCTGCTCCAAATTGTAAAATAAAAACTGTAATAAAACTAAAACTATCTAATTAGATAGGCTTTTATTTGCTTTTATAAATAATATACGTTAAGGACATTATTGCCTGAAGAAAAAAATTTTTTTTGATAAATAATGAATTTTTTCAAGAATTGTTTTCACTTTAAATTTAAAAATGTTTTAAAATTCTTCCAAACAGAGTAGGAGGTAAGTTATGAAGTTATTAATTGAAGACTATATTTACTAAGCAAAAATTAAAATTTTAATACAAATCTTACTCCCAAAACTTTTTACCATAATTTAAGATATTTTTTTTGTGCATCAAAATGTTATATTTTTTTTAGTATGGTGTATCATAAGTGGTATTATGGTTAAAAAGGTCATGTGTTTCAAAGTTTGTTCCCTTTAGAGAAAACTCCTTGACATAAAGGTTTTCAGCTACAGGCAATATTTTCATTTCACTTCTGTGTTTCATTGTCCCTACATTTCAACAGGCTTTAAATCTTGAAGCGATGATTTCTAATGATCGTTTTCTTATTTCACTAAATATTTTTAATTTTGCTATGTATTCATCTTACTTTATATAGTGTGTGTCATGCATAATTTGTTTTATTTATTAGTTTTTTTTTTTACTTAGTTAAGAAAAATAATTTAATTTGTTTTTATTTTTTTTAAAGTTTCTTTTCTTTTTTTGCGAGTAACTGCTAAATAACAATTCATAACCATCAAAGTATAGCAATTAATAATAAAGAATAAAATATATTATCTCAGTTAAAAATTTAATAACTGAGAGGAAGTTAATAATTTAATTTTTAATTTAATAACTTAGTGAGATAGTTAATTATTAATATAATAACTTATTAATTATTATTAAATTAAAAATGTAATAACTTAATGCAATATTAATAAAATTATTTATCATTATCTTAGCTATCAAATAATGAAATACCATTATAGAGATATTTCAAAAATGTAAGAAATTTTTTATAGTATTTTAAATTAAGAAACAAAAAAAAAAAACATTCTTAGAATTCATAAATTTATATCAATTCTGGTGCACAATACTAAACCTGTTAACACATTCACCCATCAACTTATTGATGGAGATATGAAAATAACAAAATCCCAAAGTCAAGAAATGTTTGTCTAGAAAATTTTATGCTTTAAGTAAGTGATATTTGTTTCAGAACAGATTAATTTAACTTTAAATTTGCTAATTTTACAAAAGTAACATTTCAGAAATGTACATTTTATTTTAGCAGGATTTTCAAAACCAAAAAATAAATTTTGTTTACATTTCTCTAAAAAAGTTAAAAATGGTCATTTCGATTGGTTTTTCAGAAGAATTGACTAAAAATCATTCAAATTTCTATTTGAGATATTCCACAGTATTTTTTTTTCTGGAATTAGAAAATTTAATCCTTTAGCTTTCAATTGAAGCTGGGGGAAAGCTTCAAAAATGACTTTTCCTTTGTGAAAAATACATTTAAACCTTAGATATACAAATTTTTGAAGGTACCTACATAAAATGTATATCATTAGAAAGAATTGGAAAATTCAAATTAGGTACTTCCACTGATTTGCTAAAAAATTAGCCTACATGATGAAAATATGCCCCAAACTTAATAAAAACAAAGTTTTATCATCAAAATCTTTATTATTAAGAGGAAAGACCAAAGGATTTTTTGATTACTTAATTTTTTTTTTATCTTTTAGAATGTTCAAAATTTTGGTTAAAAATCTTGTTTTTCTTGCACCAGTGGGTGATACCAAAATTAATAGAGGAAATTGTAGCATCTTTTTTATAGTGAAAAACACAATGATTTGGAAATTCTTGCAAAAATAAACAAAATTGTTGGATTTTAATTAAAATTTCAGAACTTATTCACAAATGAATTATTTTTTTAGAAACGTTTGTTTTGTTTTATTTTTTTAAAGAAAATTTTAGTAAAAATATATTTGTTATTTTTACATCTGTTACCCCCACCCTACTTATTTAATTTTAAGAAATTAGATTTTGTCCCAATTAATATTTATATTAGTTAAAAGCAGAACTCCTTGGAGAATTTAAATTACCAATCTTTTTTTTTTTTTTTTGTAAAACAAAAATACTAATTACCGAAAATTGATTATGAATAGTAAAATAAAATATGCAATAAAACTAAGACATTATTTAATTAGAAAAGCTTTTATTTGCTTTCATGAATAAGATATATTATGCACGCTATCATAAGAAAAAATTTTTTTTATGAATAATCAATTTTTACCAAAAATTGTTTTCATTTTTTTAACATTATAATTAGAATAATTTATAAAGTTTCAAATCTTTTAAATTTCTGTGTTACCTTGTCTCTATTAGGTGATATTGTTATTAAGTAAAAACTATATTTACTATTAATAGATGAAAAAGCTTAGTGCAAATCATCAAACACCAATATTTTTTTAAAATTTTAAATTATTTTTGTATGTGCATAAATGTGCTGATTTTTGTCGATACAGATATGTATACGCATTATCAGAAAATAAGTGATAACTGTATTACATTTAAAGCCAAAGTATCTAAAATTCAGTAAAACATTAGATTAAAGAGAATACTTTCCTAATTTTTTAAGATTACAGAGTACTTAAAAATTATATAAAATATGCGTTCATGTTATATTCCTCAATTATTTTTTACAGATATCCACCATAGAAAAAAATTGTATAAACTTCCATCTGTTATTCAAGGTGTCATGTTAACACCTTAAATAAACAGCTACCGCAGTATTAAACAAATGCATTTCTGCAATATTTTTAACTTAAAGTAATATTTGTTTCAAATCAGATTAATTAAACTTTAAATCAGCTAATATTCCTTAAATAAAGTTTCAGAAAAGGATATTTTCTGAAGATTTTTTTTTAATAAAGAGAATTACATTTTGATGCAAAATGGCTAAAAATGGTTGCTAAAAATCAACAATTTCAAAACAACAAATTCAAGTCAATTTAAATTAGTTTTGAAATACAGTAAAGTATTTTGCTTATCGGAAATATTGAATGTAATCTATTAGCTTCAAATTAAAAACTAAAATAAAAGCTTCAAGAAAGATTTTTCATTTTTAAAAATTCCTTTTAAACTTAAGGTATTGCAAAGTCAGTTATGTGCCATGCGTGATACATGCTTAGGTGATCATGTATCTTTAGATACATGACTGACGAGGCAGATTTTTTTTTCCATGCAGTAGGTTTCCATTTCTATCTGCAGTAGACCAGTTGCCATCCAAGGCTATAGAACCCAGTCTGTCCTGCTATTTACCCATAATTTGGGGGAGAAGAAGAGGATTCATACCTTTCCCAAGGGTATTAGCAGGTAAGTGAATGTAATAGATTCAACTGGAATTCAAACTCAGCTCTCCGATTCCTCAATCCAAGCTGTTATCTATTACTCCACCATGCCTCCTATGAAGATACCTAATTTAAATCAATTTGTTTTAATAAAATTAGTCCAACAATGGTTAATTATTGATCTAAATCTGAAAATTTAAATCTGAATTGTAAACTAAAGCATTGGTTTCTTTAGCAATTATTTCTTAAAATATAATTTTACAGTAGTTAATATATTCATGGTAATTTTTAAAACCTGTTTTAATTTTTTTTTTTTTTTTAGATAAGCTTTATACTATTTTTTGCAATCAAACCAAAATTAAAACTTCATATTGAAATACATTTTTAAATTTTGACTTATATGCCCACCCAATTCCTATAAGAACAGTGGTCAAGGCAGTGGATGAACAGATACCAAAAGGTATGTCCCAATCAGAAGCAAGAAACAAATGACTGTGCAAGAGGACAGTATTTGCATTCAAAAATGTTATGGTCAATGAGCAACTCTTACAGGAACTTCAAGAGAACAATTATACAAAAT